TTTCTTTCTGTTTTTGCAAAAAGATGGGGTGTAATCAATAGGTGAAATTTTAAAAAAATGTGCTGGTATTACTTAAAAATAATTTATTACTAAACTGTTTTGAGTTCAATAATAGTATGCACAGACTACTTCTGATTACAACATACTGGTAAGGATTATGCAGTGAAATACGGTATTTCATTCTGCCTAAGGATTATGAAGCTTTATTTATTCCTACCAAGTTTTTCTTAGACCATTTAGTCTCTACTAAGTTTTTCTTAATAAAACTTTTTTTTGGTATAAAATTGCAACGATAAGGCTGAGGATATATCTCTGTGTTAGAGTGCCTACTTAGCATGCATAAAGACCTGAGTTCCATTCCAGTACCATAAAAACAAAAAAGTAGAGAACAAAAACACAATAAACTGTCATGCCATATACAGTTGTACAAAATACATCAGCTCTGTAAGGAGATATGATCATACATTGGGGCCATACACTTTTGGATTCTCTTGCATGGCCTAATTGAGTGTAGACAGAGCACAAGGCCTTTACAAAGGATGGAGAATATTCTGGTTCTAGTGTACCTACCCACTACCCTACTGCCCCCAAATTACAAGTGGCCAATAGTAAATTAAGAACTAAAAATCACTTGCGGGCTTAATATACATTAGCTTCATGTTCTGTCTATGGCTGTAATCATCAAAAGTCTGCACTGAGACATTTTTCTAATTTGAAAAAGAAAAACAAAATAGCAGCTCTGGGAAAATGTATTTAAGTGTTGTGAAGTAAGTATCAAAAGGCCTTGACAAAATATATTCTCACTGTTATTACTACCAAGCACTATAATCCAGAAAACTTGTTTTAGGAATACAGTGTACCCCTTTTTTTAAGGCATTTCAAACATTATTCTCCATACTTGAAAAAGTGAGAATTGAGGACAGATTTATAAGAAAATATAATTTGCAATGTTGCTGCTCTGACAATCTTTCACTGTTATTTATAAAATGAAGAACAGTATGTATGGATGCATCTATTTGAGCTTCAAACTGACTTGAATTTCAATATAGATTAAATTTACTTCATTACATTTTCCATCTTTATAACTACAAACTGTTATTGTAGTTTATTCAGTTCACATATATTGTTTTCTTTAATTCTTATTTACAGCCACTTTGAAAATGTTTTCAGTACAGAGAAAGTAGATATTCATATTTAACTATATCTGTAACATATGTATAACTATGTATCTATAAATTTGACTATGATTAAAGTTGCACTTCCAGTAATTTTAATGGAATGAAAATACATATCATATAAACATTTAATTTTATTACTTGATCAGGTAGATCAACAAATTTTCAAACTGACATAAAATATACATATAAATCTTCAAATTATCAAAATATAAAATTTTGGTTCTGTATCATTTCCCTGTTTTGAATCAACTTACAGACACATTAGATTCCCAAGATTTTATTTACCCACCTTTCCTCAGCGATTGAGTTGCCCTTTCAGTATCTATTCAAGATTCAGATAGTGCAGATGAATGATGTAATATTTATGGAGATCTTTAAAACTATTGAGTTCCTCAGTAGAATGCATGCATGGTAAAGAGATAAAAAATGTCCAGAGTTCATGAACAAAGGCACTGTGAGCTCCCTTGAGCCCTCTGCAAGCTTAAAAGAGATACACTCCTTTCTCTATACTTCCAGCTGATTTGCTCCCTGCCAGCATCATTGTATTTTTAATACCACATTGTCATGAATTACTTTTCCCTCTTATGGGAGAAATAGAACTCTATCTTTGTATCCCAATGCTAACATTATTTCTGGCATAGTAAACATACTTAGTTTATGTTGAATATGTGTGAAAAAAGGCTATACAAAAATATAAACATTCAACTTCATTTTTTATATTGTTAAAAGATGCTATTTTCCTACAATTGTCTCTTTTTCAGCAAATTCCTAGACTTAAACCATATCTTTCTATTTCGATTTTGCCATTCAAATCAATTCAGCAAACGTGTACTGAAGACATCTTATTTTGGAAAATACAATGTTGAAAATAATGACCATACACAGTTGGTAATCTAAGAGCAGAAATAAATGCAGAGTATTGAAATGCAAGCAGAATATGAAAGTGTTAATAATGTTTAATACAAAGTATTATATCAACACAACAGATAGGGATTATTTCTTCTAAAAACCTCCTTGAAGGAATTTGAATGGGTGTGATCTTCATACTTTATGTCATAGAATAGGAAAAGTGATACTTCAGATATATAAACAATGAGAAGATCTAATGATGTAAAATGTCAGAGGTATAATCAGATGGAATACAGAAATACAAGTGGCCTGAACTGGAAGGAAAAAAATGTGCATGCACATTCCTGTGTGTTTAGTGGTGTCTATATGTGTTGGGATCAGTGAAAGAAGCCACGGACAATGCCATTTGTTTACATTTCAGTTACTCAAATAGCAACCTGGACTAATGGTAGTAGGGATATAAATGAGCCTAACTGTGTTAGAAATGTTATGGAGACGAAACTCAAAGGCATAATATCTACACCAAGCTGAATGCTTTGAAAGTAAAAGAGGCCATCAAGGAAGAAAAAATAGATTAGAAGCCTAAGGGTAGAATTCTGTGTAAAAGATGCATTTTAGGGCAGAATAGTATTTATATTTTAGAAACTGATTTTAACAACTATTGGTTCAACATTTTAAAATTTAAAGATTATTAAATTACATTATGGGCCAGAATAGTTAATTTCTGAAGCTCGTGTCAATTTCCTCTTTATTCTGTATTTTTTCATAGTGAGATTGTGAGTATGAGGCTTTTTGATAGTTGATGTTGTTAATTACTTTATTAACTTCCTTTGCAGTTTATAGATAATTCTCTTGCACCTGCCAATAAGCCTGCTATAATTGACTCATCCTACATTTATTCATTTTGTATCATATGCAGAAATCCCTTGTTACTGATAAACTTTTTAGCTCGTAGAATCAATGACTTTCATGAAAGCCATGGGAAATATATAACCCCTAGTAAACTGCACTTTGTGAGCCTACTGTGCCTAATATCAGGACACTCATAAAACTGCATAATCTTCTTCTTTCACTTTATTGCCACTTTGTGCTGCAGCCATTTAAAATGCAACTTTAAGTATGTCAGGAGAGTTAAGACTTGATGCTATGACTTAGATTCTTTTTTATAACTTTTTACCAATGTGTCCCAAAAGTTCCATTGCCGTAGCCTCAAAATAACATTTGGGGTGGGTGGGTTGTGCCAACACCTTTGCATTTTAAACTTGTGATTTACACATAAAATACAGACTGAACTGTTTGACTTGTAAGAAAATTGAGCAAGTTAGTACAGTAGTACATTAAATTTCTTTATGTACAAATCAATCAACAAACTAAGAGGACTTTGTTGCCAGATAATTTAGTTTATGTCTCTGCCTATAAGGAGATTTCTACCTAAACTGACTTATATGTTAAAGAATCAAGAGCTTACAGGTTATTTACTTCCCCAATAACATATTTTTATAGCTATGGTGTGTTCTTGGTCAAAGTCCTTCACTTTATTTAACTCTATTCCAACAATTCCAATGGCTTTCCCAGTCACTAGTAAAAAAAAGAACTGATACTTCCCCAACCTCTACCTTGAAATCCTCATATATTACTCATCTCCTTATTCTTATACTAGTAAGAATTCACAAAAAATTTATTCCCCATTAAATATGTATTAACTTATTCTTTTGTTTTCAAATATTTTTTTCTAAAACAAAGTGATTTCACAAGGCCAAATTCCTTCAACTAATGACTTTAGTGGAAGATTCCTTAATATTTTTGATTTTTGATTTGATCTAATATACACTGGAAATTACTTCAATATCATAAACATGCATTCCTCACTTTACAATATAGTGATACACATAAAAGTATAAATATTCCTTTTGTATTTTACTATAAAATATGCATTTTCTTTAGTTGTATCTATGACCTCCTACCCTATGGGCAATTTTGGTATTCTATTAAATATAAATAGTTATGTTCTATGTATTATTATTTCAAGTATTAAAATAAATATCATGTAGTATATCATAGTCAGAAATATGAATTTTTTCAATTAGGTAAAAAATATATATAGTCTAAATATTAATGACACATAATTAAGTACTTATTTGATTTTCTGTCTTTCTGAAATCAAACTGAAGCAATTATTTATGAATGGAATTCTTTGATAGGTCACTCTATTTTCTGGACATTTAGACTCCTTTGTGATAGTTGCCAAGGAAAGAAGAAGATGTGAAACTTGTCATTTTCCCATCACCCTTTGTGATAATTTCATTTGTACCTCAATCCTACAAAACTGCTTAGGAAGATAGAATGAGAAACACAGGATATAAGGTACTACTCAAAAAGTGGATTTGTTCTCACAGGAATAGAAATGAGTTTAAAAAATTCAAACAATTAACTTTAATTAAAATAATGTGTTATTTTGTGATAGTTATTAAAGCATCTTATTTGAACATTAGGGCATGATAAACTAGAAAAATTTCAGAACCATCAAGAAGTTCACCTGTTTTTTCATAAAATCATTACAGCAAAAATTGAGAGACTATTCGAAAAATCACATTTGATATTTTAAGCATACTATTTTAAGAGAGAATGTGAATATTTAATTTTGTTAAACATACATTTATATATAAATATATGTATATTATTATAGACAGAGCTTAAATAAGGACAAATCTGATGTAAAAATGGACCTTTGCATTTATTGATTATTGAAAAGCAATGAAAATATTAATCCTATTGGAGAATGAGTAAAAATGCTAAATAACTTAAGTTACTGAACATTATTTATGTAACTTATTTATTCTTTATAAAATTATGCATTCTATGTATGCAGAAAAGAGTTTAAATATATTTCCTAAGCACATACATCTAATAAGCAGAGAACCTTCTTTGTTTAAAACTATATTTCACTATGGAAATATGTATTTTGTACCACATAAGTGTAAAATCAAGGGAAAGCTCACATGTCAATGATTTACATTATTTCAAACATGAAAGGGCTCAGTATATTCTATATAATTCAGTAAATTCATGTATTTTTAAATTAAATCTTCATTGAACACAGATGAAACAAATTCAGATGCAAGGGACATATTCAATGACAAAATCCTACTTCTGGATACTAAGAGCATGAAAAAATCTATGGCAAGTCCATGATGGCAATACTATGCATGAGAATCTACAGAATTCTATGAGCTTACAGTATAACTTCTTCTGCTGACCCATTATCACCACTGAAACAGTCTATTCCAGTTTGATAGTTAGCAAGGATTCACAACTTTTTGCCATTATTTACTGAAGGAAGGGGAATGTAAACCATGTTGGAGAATATTGATTATTTGTGGATCCACACAAGAAAATTGCTAAAGAAAAAAGTTGAGATGGGATGAGACATTCTGTATTTTGACTGAATAAATTATTATTCCCATTTTTTCTCTCTTCAGCTTAATACAATTTGCAATCTTATCATGCCTTCTTATGTTAAGTCTCCATCTCTAGCATTAGATTTTTGACTTGGCCATGTGACTTTCTTGGTCCAATTGCATGGCTAATGGAGGTGAATTTAGTAGAAGCTGATAAAAATGAGTTTGAGGTTCACCTTTTGTGCATTGGTGACTGGCTATCAGAAGATTGTTCCACAGCTGGGAATGTAGCTCAGAGTTAGACCACTTGCTTAGGATGCAGAAGGCCTGGGTTGGATCCCCATAACTGTGGGGGGAAGGAAGAAAAATAAAAAGAAAAAAATAGCACTAAGGAACTCCATGACTGAGTATGAGTTACACAAAACAAGTCATATACTAAAGGTAAATTCTGTTTCAAAGATAAGAGGAAAAAAGAGCTTACACTAACCAAATTGAAGATTGGCATTTAGAGTCCAGCCTATTTCAAACAAATTATAACTGCCACTCAGAACACTAAACAAGAGAGTAAATTATTATACTTCAGAAACCACTGTTTGGGTGATATTGTGGTAGTAGTACATAACTAATATAATTGTTAATGATGCTGGCAATTACTGTATTATAGAAACTCACATAGCTGAACTGTAGATAAAATAGGACTTTCTTGTGATCACTTACTTTTTAGATACACAATGAAATGAGACATTTTTCAATATCCCAAAAGGTATAATACCAAAATAATTAGCTTCTACAAAGACTAAGGTGTGGGCATCAGTACATACTCTATCAATAGGGCATCAGTGTTTGGGATATTCTAAGAAATATTCTCATATTAGTTAAAGGGAACTTAATCCCAGCCCCCACAATAATGTATTGTAGATTCTCAATAGTCTCACATCTATGTTTGCCACAATTCAGATGGTCTAGTATGCAAATCATCAGCAAAACCAAAATCATACATTCAGGGACGGGGGATATATGTAAAGATGCTATTTGTTTTACATATTTTGCCTCATTCTTCATATTGTTTTTGGACTGAAAACTGGAAGTTCTCAGGCTAACTTTTTCTTGTGGGGAGGGAGTGTTGCTGTGGATTGTACTCATGTGTACTTGACCACTAAGTCCTATTCCCAGCCCTATTTTGTATTTTATTTAGAGACAGGGTCTCACTGAGTTGCTTAGCACCTCGTCACCACTGAGGCTGGTTTGAACTTGCAATCCTCCTGTCTCAGCATCCTGAACCGCTGGGATTATAGGTATGCATCACCATGCCTAGCTCAGGCTAATGTTTTTAATACTCTTTTTTTGTACAAAACAATAATTCCTAAAAAAAAAAAAAGTAGTGGGGTAACTTGACACTTCTTTGCTTAACTCTCTGGCTTGGAGTTCTCACTTTATTTCATCAATTCAACTATAACTTTATCAAGTGAAGCAATATCTCCACTTTTCTTTGTCTAGTGATCATTTTTTCTCTCTGCTCTACATTTGATCCTTCATTCCTAAAATTATTCCTCTCAAGTTTTCTATCTCTTCTAGTGGAATAGGATTTTCAAGATCATAAAAGGATTTAAGCTAAGTATTAATCTTTGATTATGTATGGAGAAAAATATGTAAACCTGTCAAATCTATGAGTAGAAATGCCATCATCTCTAGCACACCTTATCTTTACTGCTGCCACTGGACTCCCTTGAGCCTGGTTTACTTCCCACTTGAATTATTGCTTAAGTTTTCCAGCATGCAGTCTCCAGTGGCTATCCTACATTCCTCTGCTCTATAAATCTTCCTAAAATTGTGTACCTTTCTAAAAAGAGACATATTTTCAATATCTACTGATACTCTGTGAAAGCAAGTACATAGACCATATGGGGGCATTCAGGTCAATCCTTAATGAACTTGATTATGAATGATCTTGTTTTAATCTTTATCTTCATTAGTAGAATATACTTTGTATTACCCTGTTTGGGTAACTTGCTGGTGCTATTTCTTCAATTTATACTAATGCTATACTCTTTCCAACTCTTAAATTCTTTGCAATTTTTCAGAGGTATTTCATACATTATACATTTTCTATTTAGCTTCTGCTGTTTCTTTTAATTGTGTATTTTAACAGAGTGTCATTTAGTTTGCTGGTTCATGACTTTAAACCACAATAGCATTTATGGGATCTACTCAAATATTTTGCTTTCTGAGATAATTATCCTATATATGTAAAGGGCAAGGATGCTGCCTTGTTAGATTTTAAAAAATACAGTAAAATTTCTCCATTCTTTACCTAGATATCTCATACCACTATAGTTCATTTCAGTATTTAAATGAAATAATTTATGAGTAGTAACCATAATTCTAGGTAATAGACTGTGGCTACAACTTACAAATAAAAATGGCCAAAATATGAGGACTTGCTATATGCCTGACACTGTTATATTTTGGAACAATCTTCAGTGTCTGTTAGGTCATTTTATTACTTTTTACAAACAAAAAAATCAGGGCTGGGGTTGTAACTCAGTGGTAGAGTGCTTGCCTCGTATGCATGAGGGTTCGCATGGGTTCAATGCTCAGCGCCACATGAAAATAAATAAATAAAAATAAAGATATTGTGTCCATCTACAACTAAAATATATTTTTTTTAAAAAAAGAAGACAAAGTTTTGAACAATCAGAGGCATAATAAAGTAAGTTTTCTTGTTCACAACTGTACTAATACTAAATGGCCCAACAGGTATGTAAATAAAACTTATGTGGATTTGCAGCCCATGATAACCCTGTCTCAGAAGATAAATAAGTGAAGCCACCCAAAGAAAAACATAAGTTCCTAGGGATGAGAGTTTTATAGCTCAATGGTTGCTTACAATATTTAAATTGGATGGGCATTGAGAATAAATCTAATGAGGCGAAGTAAATATGCATATACTTGGAAAAATTCCATTTACCTTTGCCCAGAATAGAGATTTGGCAAAAGTAATAAAGCTGATGGACAGGATGATGCATGCCTATAATCCCAGCAGTGAGGGAGGCTGAGGCAGGAGGATCCCAATTTCAAGGCCAGATTCAGCATTTTAGTGAGACCCTGTCTCAAAATAAAAAATGAAAAGTACTAGGCATGGATTTCAATGGCAAAGTGACTCTGGATTCAATATCTATTACCCCAAAAACAAACAGTCAAAACAATATACACACACAGACAGTAAACAAATATTTATTTATATTTGTACAACTATTAAGGATGAATTTTACAATTGTGTAGCTTAATGAAATAACCCTGTGTTTTAGAGTAGAGATCAAAAAAATGAGTCTCACAGGCTTAATCAAGTTTCTCTTCAATGGTTGGAAAAAATAACAAAGAAGAATATGTAAAGAAACCCACATATGCTAAAAAGCCTAAAGGAGTTACTATTTAGCTTTTATATGGAAAACCACTTGCAAATCCTTGCTTTAGTTAGTTCTGGATAAGATGTCGACTTGCCTATTACTACAACTTGATGAGCTCTGTTACCTGATCTTTTAGATAATAATACTATAAAAATTTCATTATGAAAATTAAAAATCATTACAATATATATTAACTTATTCTTTTATTTTCAAATATTTTTTCCAAAGCAAAGTGATTTCACAAGGCCAAATTCCTTGTGAAATTAAAATCATTACAATATATAGACCAAATCTTCAAAGAAGTAACAATGTGTGTGTATGTTTTAAATTTTTTTATTATTTTTAAAAAATGTATATTGAAAGGAAAGGACAACAGAATAAGATCATAGAATGAGAGTTATATAAATGTTTTAGGATGATAGACTGTATACATTCTAATCAAGACATGTTATGCTAAAAATCTATGAAGAACAATATACAAAGCCCTTCTGATCATTGGAGGATTAAAGTATTCTTTGTGTAAAAAATCAAAAGTACTAGGCGTGGATCTCAATGGCAAAGTGCCAATGGCATTTTCCTTTATTGACATTCTTGTTATCCTCATCCCCACTCTGAATTTAGGCCACTTAAGTCATGATCAAACAAATTATGAAGCAAATTATTTAGGAGGTACTTCATTTATAGACACATTTTTTGTTGTTGTTGTTTGTTTTTTTTTTTGATTTTTATTGTTGGTTGTTCAAAACATTACATAGTTCTTGATATATCATATTTCACACTTTGATTCAAGTGGGTTATGAACTCCCATTTTTACCCCGTATACAGATTGCAAAATCACATCAGTTACACATCCATTGATTTACATATTGCCATACATAGACACATGTTTATAAAAATATATGTTTTGCATTTTGGAGAAAATTAAAATCATTACAATATATAGACCAAATCTTCAAAGAAGTAACAATGTGTGTGTGTTTAATTTTTTTATTATTTTTTAAAAATTTATATATGACAGCAGAATGCATTACAATTAGTAACAATGTGTATTTTGAGTAAACACATGCACACACACAATCAGAGATCTATATTTAAAGTCTCCTCCTTGCATTTATTTATTTTTTCCAATTAAGTTCTAAGTGTTAGAATAATCATACATATGGTATGCTTGGGATAGTATTGGTTTACAATTTATTGAAAGAGACCACTGTGGGATATAATGGAAAGCTAGTATTTGAATCAGTTGTTTAAGGAACCAGAAAAATCAGTCCTTCTAACACAAGTCATATCTGGTACCCAAATGTCTTACTGCTAAGTCCTTTTGGTGACAGAGGCTACTTTGTTAGTGAATAGAGAGTGGCTTCTGAATCTGAGAGAGGGAATGTGGCAGCTGGGATTGTTATATCCCTTCTTCCAAGATAATCCTACTGAGGATCCACACTGACAATCCTTCCATTGCACAATTAGTCTCTTTATGTCCGCCACCCCCCCCCCCAAAAAAAAAAACTCTTTTATTCCCCAAAATGACAGACATGAGGCAGCTTCAAAGGCAACCTTGCCAAGAAGTCCTGGGGACAAATCATGTCAAATATTGATCATAAAACACAAATATACAGGAATGATCATCAGCAGAACTTCCAAAAGATCATTATTCAAGTCAAAACTAAAGAGGTATGACCACCAAAGGAAGTGTTCCAAGGAAAGACTGACTTGCTAGGTTGTATGTCTTTGTGCACATTGTGGACTTGCAACAGAATTTTTGTTTTATGCTTCCTCTGTGACTGACATTTCAAAAATATTTTAAAATATATTTTCCATTAGCTCACACTCTATATTTTTTCACACCAATTTAGATAAGACATTAATGTTCAATGCATTATAGAGATATACCAATTGTTTCATGTATCTAAAATGTATTAACTCATATTTATTTTGTTGT